TTTGAATTATAGACATAATTTGATGACAGAATCATGTGATACTTTTGATATCGTAGTATGTCCTATTTTGCTTCTCCGTCATTTTCCCGGCTAGGTATCGATTATTTTATTTCAATTGTGAGCATGAATGCGATCAATATTTGACCAAGTTTTTGTTTCTCCCTCATCCAAATCCTTTATCTGCATTTTTTTATTACGCTGTGGAAACGTTGTCTCGTACTCTCGCAAAATAAGTGAATTAATCGAAGTTTATAGATCTTCAGTGTCTCGATAACAAACTTTTCGTACGATAAGTTGTAATGCGCCTTTCCCATCTTCTTTATTCAAGATGACGAGATGGCTGGGACCTCTTACCTTTTGATGCTATCGTAAGTGAAACGAGAAGAGCTTTCAAAATGAAATAGTAAGAAATCATCTCGAAATGCTGAAGACTTCTCTCAGTGATATGACGCAGTGAGATCAGTTATCGAGCAAATGAAAACGTTAAAGACAGTTGTTACGTAGTGTTGAGGGGAACCATGGGATTATTTACGCAGCTGTCTTTGTCTGTTTTGGTCACAGGTGCGACTTTTTCGTCAATCCTTCAATTTAGCAGGCAATAAATAAATGAACAATTAATTACTCATTTTCACGTGTCACGTACATGGTCAATCTCACGAGAGCAGAGTGAGACTTCTCGGATTGTGCCTCATCCATTTTTGCAAAATTAAGAACGCGTAGAATTAGTGGCAGTAAGGAATTGGACAGATGAGATGTTGCATTTTTGGCTTAACAACTCAATTAAACACAGGTGTAATTGTTGACAAATGCAAGGATAAACGTGGGCTTAATCGGCTTTAAAAGCGACGTTGAATACTTTGACTTTTCCCAAGAATTATTCCGAAACAAGAAAAAAAATATAACTCCAGCTGGTGTCCGAATAAAGATAACGAAGCGTTATGGAAAATACAGGGTTTCACTCGCTTGCTGGATATCTGTCGCTAAGACGTAAAACAACATTAATTTTGTCTTCTTTTTTAAAGAAAAAAGGTTATGATGTGTGTAAATTTAGAGCAATAGCAACTCAGGAAAGCTCAGTGATGTCTCCGTAACAATAAGATTGACAACATTCATGTGCATTAGTTTCAGGTTTACTTTGACCGCAAAATATTAATAAACACTACTGAAACAGCAAGACAAAGCTTGCTAAAACGGCAAAAGTACAGAGGTTGTAGCCACGAGAGTTATTTTTTATCGGTTCTGTCGTTCGTCTTTGTTAGTTTTAATTAGTGTAGATAGTTCTCTCCTCGATAGTTTAGTTCTGTATTTATTACTTTGTATTTTT